TCCCCAACTGTGCTGAAATTCCCCCTTTACCACATCCTGACAGCTCAGAGAGACTTGGGTCTATTTCTGGAATATCTCCTCTGTTCCCTTATCTGGGTATCTCATCTGGCACCAACCACACAGTTTTAATTATTGTCACTTTATATAATGTTTCATTATGTGGTGCGATAAATACCCTTCGCTTTTTTTTTTTTTTTTTTACAGAATTTCCTGGTTATTCTCTCACATCTATTCTTCCAAGTAAACTTAAAATTTTGCCAAGTCCTGCTTCCTCCTGCCCTCCTCTCACTCCAAATATTGGGCCCTTTCATTGTAGGTGCAAACATCTTCCCACCACTGTAAGCACTGTCCACCCCAGCTCACTAAATAGAGAGCCCTCTAAGGAGAAATAAAAAGGGCATCCTGAATCTTGAGGGAAGCCAGATAGTCCTCCCATCATCTCACCTGTCTCCTAAGCCAGGGTGTCGTTAGGAGAGGCCACCAAGCCCCCACCCAATCTCAGTGTGGGACCCAAAGTCACCCACCTTGGCTGTGCTGAGGTGGACCCTCCATCTGCCCTGGTCCAGGCGAGAAAGAGGGGTCTCTCCCAGACCTGGAGCTACCGGAATGTGTAGCCCAGTTACCAATTCTCCTCATGGAGAAATGTTTATTCCTATATCCCTTTCCTGAACTATTTTGGTGGGGAGAGGGTCACCTCTTGCTCTTTATTCACAGTTTTCAGCAGTTGTGATACGTCCTTTGGGATGCAGCAGTCTCTTGCCTGGACCTTCTCACCACCCTGATGACTCCCCCTAGTGGCTCTGGCTCTACTTATAGGAGGCTGTCACACGCACACCGTGACGTGCCTCCCACACAAAACTCTCTCCGTAGGGTCCGAGATCCCACCATTAGAAGACGGCGGGTGGGGTGGAGATGGGTTGCGTTTCTCTGAAGGCTTCTGGGTCCTCCAGAGCCGAGGCTGAAATCAAACAACAGCAGAAAATCCCCAGGTCTTTCCCAAGTTCCAAAGCAAGCTCTCCTGATTTTGATGTAAAGATCCTGTTCATCCAAGTGGGGCGAGGGGGATCCCAGGCCCTGGGCATCAGCCATCACCCCCTCCACCGAAAACAAGATATTTAAGGCTGCTTTGGGACTGCCCGTCTCGGCTCCCTAAGTCTGTTCTGTAACGCCTGTGGTGCTCTCCTCACCTTTCCTCTCGGGGCGGGGAGGGGTTAGTCGCCACACTTTGCTAACTCTCGCGTGCACATATTTTATACCAGAGTAGCGAGGAAATGGTGCCGCCTCCAGCTTCCACGAGCTACCCGGGCTCTGGGGGGCTCTGGGAAAATCGGGGCTGGGAAGTGACTGTGCTCTTATTGTACACTCTTGATTTCTCTGTATCTCTGGCTTGTGCTCTTTGTAATTAACGGGATTTGTCTGCCTTTTCAACACTATACTGAGCAATAACAATAAATGCACACGTGGAAATGCAGACACAGTACACATCACAAGGCCTTTTTCCGTGGGACAGCTGGGTCCCCGCCCTCCGTGGATTTGAACTCAGAGGGAAACGAAGTGCCTGGGAGGGAAAGGCACTTTGCCCAAGGGTGCATGGCTCAGGGGTGGTCTCTCTCCTTCCGCCGAGTCACACCTTTTGAACAGTCACCATTTGAGGGAGGCAAGTTCAGCTTGCCGTGAGTCATTAACCCTCCACGAGGAACAGCTGACAATCCCAGAGGGCAAGACTTTGGGGGAAGAGGCCTCAGGAGGACGGAGAAGAGGTGGAGGTTCAGGGTCTGGGAGGTCAGGGCACAGATTAGGGAAAGCTTTTTTAGCTTTGGGGTCTGGGATTAACCGGAGGGAGCTGATGGGAGATGTGGACAAAGGATGTAGGTGGTATCCCCCACTGGGGACAGGGGGATGCAGAAGGGACCCTGGCACACTAAGAGTCTGAACTTTGCACACCTCCGGTGGACATCAACAAAGAACGAGAATGTGCCCAGCAGACCAAGAGACAGTGCCAACGTTGGTTCAAAGGTCGATGGTTGCACACGTGCATGCTCACACGCACGCACGCACACACACACACACACACACACACACACACACACACACACACGAAAACCCAGCTCTTCTCAGGGAAAACTGATCCCCAGATCAAGCGCTGTAGGCCCAACCGCTTCCAAACCCAAACCCAGTTTCACATCCAAAGGTCCATTAACTCCCAAGATCAACCTTCCAGAGGAGGTATTACTACAATTCCCACTTAACAGAAGAGGAGACGGCAGCTCAGAGAAGAGAAGGGTGTGCCCACCTAGTAAGTAGGGGATACAGTATTGATACCTCGCAGGCTTGATGCCAGAATCAGCACTTAAAACTTTTCAGTTCCACCAGCAAATACTTTAATGAATAGGATAACAGTTGCACTGTTTGTCCCGAATCCTCAATCTCTCCAACTTCAATGCCTACACCAGGGAATTCCTTAAATAACAACTATGCCCCAGGCATTGTGTTTGTATTATATCTAACATGTCATTGTCCCCACTTTCTACTTGAGGAAAGTGAGGCTCAGAAAGAAGTGATATGATTTTATCACCCAGAGAATCAGTGGTATATCTACAGACCTGAGATCAGGGGATGTCCCTTGAAGAACAGGAGACCCAAGGGCCCCTCCCACTTTGTTCCCTGCAGTATTTCCACCATAAGCACCACCCCTCACACCCCTGCAATCTTTTTCCATTAGAGGGAAATTATGGGTCTTGAAAGCTGGGGTGGGGGTGGAGGGTGAGTTGCTACCCAGAGGCCCAGCCCTGAGTTCTGTAAGACCCCACTCCCCGACACCCTCTCCAAAGCTCATCGATGGTCTGGGTCTATCACACCCTCTGAGCCTTAACATCGTCCCTCCAGCAGTGACCATCTCCTGCTAGGACTCTTCCCTCCAGTTTCAAGAGGGGACACAGGGATTTTGACTCACCCAAGGGAAGCCTAGACTCCATCCTGGGTCACTCAACTCCTTAAAGCCATGAGAGGTCAAGGGCTGCCAGACCATGTGTGGCTGAGGGGAGCCCCCAGGCTCTGTCCAGCTGTACAGCATTCTCACTGTGCCGATGGGAAGCCAGGGACCTAGAGGTTGGGGAAACTGGCGATTGGGTCCTGGGCTCTAGCTGCAGGAGTCTGGCTGAGATCCTTCCTTGCCTGGGGAACCTACCTGGTGGGCCAGACTCACAGGATCCCAGAGCTATGAGGAAGGGGCAGTTTGAAGGCATGGGTCCTCTGGCCTGGAGAGGGCAGGGCGAGAGGCTCAGCCTCTGGCTAGGGGGTTATTCCCTGGGCTTCTTTGCCCCTGGTCACAGCCTTGGGTCCTGAGGAGAGACTGACAAGGAAGCACTAAGACCAGTCTGGCCACTACTCCCCAAATTAGTCACCCTAAATTGTTCACCATAAGGCCAGTCGCACCCAGAACCGCAGAGAGGTGGGTGGAGGTGTAGTTACGTATGAGTCCCTTTTTTCCTGTACGGATCTCAGGAAAAGCGAAGGGTTGGTCACGAGAGAAGACAGGTTAGAGCTTCAGGTTTCAAGTCCCGGACCTGGCTCGCCTGGAAAACGAGAGTCCCACCCCTTCGGTCTCGAGCGTTTCGCACGGAGAAGGGGAGGGGCCGTGGGAAGGCTTGGCACCGCCCCAGAAAGGACGGAACCTTCGTGCGAGCGGAGCGCGCTGCTGCCCGGAGGCTCCTGCGCCCGGGCCAGACGGCCTGCTAGCCCGGCACCGGAAGTGAGCTCTTCCG